TAAGGATGACTTTTTATATGTGGTTCTGACTATAGAACAATTAATATGGTGTTAAATATTTTAATAATTGAAAGATTTATTAAGAGTGGGTTTTCAGTTTATTTCTGAGAGGAGTCTGAGTACAGTGGAAAGTAAACTCACATGCAATAAAATTGAAGTGTGTAGATAAACTGAGTGTAGTATTCAATCTGTAAGTTAGTGATTGTTAGTGGTCTACTACGATCAGTTGAAAATGAAACTGAAGTTGTTATTCCGCTTTACAAAGAGCCATGTTGGCCTTGTATTTGATTCGAGTGTCTTTTACATTACCTCTTGAAACACCTGGCTAAAATTCAGTTCACACTGACAGTGGTTAGTAAAAACATAAAGCTTCTTCATACGCTGCACGTCAGAATGTGTTGAACTTTTGTAAATAATAACTTACGAGAAGAATTTTCCACAGGAAATACCTTTTGACTTGATACGTAAAATTTCACAGAATGAGCTCTGTTTAAAGCTTTGGTAGAACGCTATGACTAGGAGTGGAAACAATTCAAGAAATTCAACATTTTGTTTTACTTTGTTTCAAACTTACTTCACAGAATCACACAGAATCACAGAATGCTAGGAGTTGGAAGGGACCTAAAAAGATCATATAATCCAATCCCCCTGCCAGAGCAGGATCACCTACAGTAGGTCACACAGGAACACATCCAGGCAGGATTTGAATATCTCCAGAGAAAGAGATTCCACAGCCTCCATGTTCAGCCTGTTCCAGTGTCACCCTCACAGTGAAAAAGTTTTTCCTGTTTTTGTGGAACCTCCTGTGTTCCAGCTTGTATCCATTGCCCCTTGTCCTGTGGTTGGACATCACTGAAAAGAGCCTGGCTCCATCCTCCTGACACTCTCTTTACATATTTATAAACATTAATGAGGTCACCCCTCAGCCCTATTCTCATAAATTCATATAATACATCATATTCTGTTCTAGCAGCTGTGGTTTCTATTGCTGTAGAATGAAGACAGTATGCACTAGGGTTGGACAAATAGGCTTCTATTAAAAATGGTCTAGAATATCTGTGCTATGGTCTTCACAAAACCATAATCATTCCACTTTGACCTTTCCAAGGACGGGATCGGATTTTAGAAAGCATCTAGTACATTATGCATAACACAACCTGTAGAAATAGAGTTCTCCAGTGTTCCCATTGTACATGTAGCGTGCTGTGATTTACAATCCAGGAATACTTAATTCTCTGACCATTGATGAAGTATATAATAGAGTAATTAAGATGCATATTCCATTAAGGACACCCCAAGGTGATTATGGATAAAGGAAGTTTATTGTGCAATATATAGGAGTTACCAAGAGCCACCCATATTGAAATCCTGCTCTAACTTCGTGCAACAGATGCCCTAGGCTACATTCAGCTGTAGCCGTACTTTAAATGATTCAATGACCTGTTAGGAGACTGCCTCAAGAATGCCAGCTTGATATTAGGTCAGTGGCCACAGGTTTATGGAATATCAGCCCATCGGTGTAATTGTGTGATTCAATAAGGAAGAAATTGGTATTTAAGCAGTGATACATAGGTGCCCAGAATAGCAGTTAATTAAAAAACTTGTAGTGTCATTTGTACTGAAGGAAGTATCTAACTGAGTTAGAGATGCCTATCATCAATAGCTAAACACATATTTTATTTCAGTAACTTAGTTAATTAGTAAATTAGAGCTTTTAATTACTGATTTAAGTAGTTGATTATCTTGACATTTACAAAATGTTTGGATGAATGTCATGCATCTCTGCTATATTTACCCCATCAAGAAGCCTTAAATGGTGGTTGTGATCAAAGAAGAAAATTACCTTTTTTTTAAACTCAATGTCTTTTTTTCTTTTTTCGATCTTTTTTTTACGGTCTTGGAAAGACATTGTTTTATGACGTCTTTATGTTCCTATTACTTTTTATAGTCAGCTGGAGCCAGCCAGACGTAAGATGCATGCAATGAACATAGCAGTGTGCAAGGCAACAACTGCAAGCTAGATTAGAATTAAAGGAAATTGTGAAGTTTGGCTTTTATTTTAAAAATTGTCTCATTTCTCATAACTTATTAAATATAGGACGTGATTTCAGTGATAAATAAAGAGCAATGAAAGATTTAATTTAAAGGTCAAGATATATTTGTCTAGTCATGCCATTTCTCTATGACAGAAAACTGGTTTTTGCCTTATCTTAGAATTATGATCTTAGAGTTATGATCAGAATTATCATTTTTATTAATGAGAATAAAAATATTCTACACTATCAAATAAATTGGAGCTCATCATTCTGTTTTGATTGTAAGCATGTCCTAAAGCCATAAGCTTCTGAGAATCTTCGGATTGTTCCTGAAAGGGGAAGTTTTATTTTTATAATAAGGAGTTATTGCTATTTCAGGGTATTGTGTGACACACCTCATCTTCTTCTAAGTGCCTTGAAAAGATTTAGGTCTTGGCATGAATAATTTATTCTGTATTTTAAACGCCTATTTGACTGGCTGATATGCTGAATTTCTCCATAAAAAAAAAAAATTTTGTCTGGAGATTTTTTTTTATGGCAAAACACAGAAACTATCTCTGAAGTACTATTCCATGTAGTGGAAATTTTTTTACTGTCTCCTTACTTGGCTGACTAGTGGAGTAGTCAAATACACGATCATTTCTGTGGTTCTATTTAAACTATATTAGTAGTATGTATGATAGAAAAGGAAGGCTTTTGTTTGTGAATGTGAAATTCAACGTATTTTCTAAAGAAAATGATAATAAAATAAAAAAAACAACTTCTATATGCTATTGAATGTATAATAATTATTTTCTTGAAAACTGGAGGTTCTTCATACCAGAATGATTAGGGTACGAGAGGGTAAGTCTTATGAAAAGAACCTGGAAGAGGCTGAGGGCAGACCTTATCGCTCTCTACAACTCCCTGAAAGGCAGCTGTAGTGAGACGGGTGTTGGCCTCTTCTCCGTGGTGAATAGCGACAGGACAAGAGGGAACGGGTTCAAGTTGCGCCAGGGGAAGTTTAGATGGGATATTAAGAAAAACTTCTTCACCAAAAGGGTGATGAGGCACTGGAATGGGTTGCCAAGGGAGGTGGTGGAGTCACCATCCCTGGATGTGTTTAAGCAACGGCTGGATGTGGCACTTTAGGAGATGGTTTGGTGTTAGGGTGGTGTAGGGCTGTAGGTTGAACTTGGTGATCTTAAGGTACTTTCCAACTTTGATGTTTCGGTGATTCTATAATTTAATAGGTATTTAACAGTCACCACTTAAGTTTGCATAGCAAAGTGCATAAAATGACTGAACCCTTTGTGTGAACAAGAAGCCATGTGAGAAATGGCATTGCAACTTAATGACCATTATGTTACTGTTTTCCCTAAAATCAGAATTTTGTTGTTTGTGTTTTGGGATTTTATTTTCCTCTTTTGTGCCACTTATATGAAACAATTCTTGTCACAATAATTTAGGAAAAAAAACTCAGGCCCCAAAGTAAGGACTTAGTTTTCGCTGGTGATAGGTGGTAATTCACCCATGGTTTATAGACAGTAAGATTTGCCATAAAAGTTGACCATACAAGAAGTTAAATGAATTAGGGAATTAGGTTTTTTGTGATTGTCTGAATTTATACCAACAAAAGAAATTAATGCAGTTGGAAAGAAATTGGCTTTTTTGAAAGTAAGCTTGTAGCTAGGTAAATCCCCTGCAAATGGCAGTAAACTTACATTTTGACTAAAGTATATGTTAAGTACCATTTTTTACCTTGTAAGTCCCTGAATCTGTGCTGAAAACTGCTACCATACTATCGCATTACTGAAGAACACTGATTTCAGCGTAAGAAGCTAATTAGTGGCAAGTTTGGAAAGGTTTGTTATAATTTTATTTTAACACTTTTCTGATTTTTTGTGAAGTATTAAAACTTATATTTGTGTGTTCTGTTCTGTAGCTCTAAAATGAAGATTACTTGAAAGATGAGATTTTTTCTTTCTTTTTTCTTTCTGCATTTGGGCCAAAAGTCTGTTTTCTATAAAACTTATGTCTGTTTTAGCTTGTGCAGTGAGTTGAGCTACTTCACTATATTGATTACTAGTTAAAAATAGCTTGCTACATTATGTATAAATAGACCAAGGAATATTTGGAAAGTGACATAAATATTTTATAATATTGGGGAAAAAGACTTGCATAGCATGAGCTAAGTAAATCCTGTATTAAAATAGCGTCATCACTTAAGGAAGTCTAAGTATCTGAGCAATAGTCCTCAAATGGTAATTTGGTTTTTCATGTATTTTACATTTTTTTAGATTTCTCTTTTTGCGTTCAGATGCTGGAAATTATGCAGAGTTCAGTCAAGTGCATGTGAACACGTGTGTGCATGCATATCTGCTCACACACAGAGAGTTCCTAATTTTATTATCTTTTTGTTACTGTCCTGGTACTTTGCCTTTCCACACTTCAGCTGCCACTGCTTCACATTGGAGTGTGAACTTCCTGGGGGGGCATTCTTTTATGTTTTAAATTACTCAAAATTTCCATCTGCTTTTACTTGACTTGTGGTTGTGAAGATCATGCTTGGCCCATGGGATCTTACACTGTGCCGAGAGGATGTGGAGTTTTGTCAGCCAGGGAAGTATGTCTGGCTTTTTTTTTTTTTTTTTTTCTTCATTCAGCAGCTTTCATATGCTTCTCTTCTTGTGTGGTCCCACTGAACTGAGTATGTTTAAGAGAAATGCTCGCTCTCTCTCTCTCTCTATCTTTTGAGCACTGCTCTGCTCTTTTAAGCAGACTGTGTATAAGAAATCTGAGATCCAAAAAATTTTTTCCTGACTGAAAACAAGGTACTGTTACATAGCAAGGTACTGTAATAGTTGCACATTCCAAATTTATAACAGCATTCCAAGTTCTGTTGTACACAAGTATCAGTAGATCTGTGGTTACCAGTAAACATTGCAATTATATCTTTGAATATTCTGTGCTTTCTTTTTGCAGGCACTGCTGCAATCTGCAGTTCAACAGCAAGAAGCAGCTATTGAAAAACAGTACATACTAGAAATTGGAAAACATTCTCGCAAATGTGAAGAACTTCTTAATGTTCAGGTATGAATGTGCAATACAAAAATCTGTTATTTTCATTTGTTTTCTGTTTGAAAAAATATTAACATATATGATCACCAAAGGAAAAAAAAGTCTTTCCCCTTGTGTCCTCAGCATAAGAGTAAACACTAGGATTTAAAAATAAATAATGCCTCTTCGTCTGTTGGGATCAAAGCTGGTTTGTAATGTTTTAACCTGCTTAGAACAGATTCAAGAAGAGTGCAGCACTCAGAAAAAAATCTCAAAGCAGCTTAATACTTACACCTTTAACAGCTGCCATTTTATTATTCTTAGAGAAAACATGAAATTATTTTTAATTTATGTGGTTAAATACAGAATTCAATTGTATGGGTTTTGCACAAATTTTTTTGGTCCAAATTGGTTGGTCCTTCTTAGATCATAGACACAAACATCTGTTTTCCAGACCTATTTTTATTTCATAGAAATATGACATAGAAAATATAAAAAACTCCTAGCTACAAGGAATTACATAATATTCAGAAATATATGTACATAAATAGTGTTATATTGTCTTATTTAGCATGACTTGAGTAAAAACACACTGCATAGGAAGTATTTGGAAACACGTCAGTTATTGATGAGAATCTTAGCAGCATGAGGCTGGTTTGTTATTGAAAATATCTTGGTCTAATTTAAGTTCAGTAAAAATAGTAATGAGTATTAGTATTTAAGTTTGCTAGTTTGCTAATAGCATCCTAATGTTGTTTACGTTGCACTTAACAGTATTAACAGTTACCTTTTAAGTATTGTTAACAACAATTCTACTAAAAATACAAAGCAAAATAGTTTTTTATTTTCTTGGCATATATTAGTATATTATATTCTTGAGGTTTATTAATACATCAAAGTCTACTTGAAGTATTTTAACATTTCCAGCAATTTTTTATGATCATTTCACTGTTCTGACCGTATTGATTAATACTTAGTGCAAACATGTATTAAATATGTATCTGTATAAACAGTACAAAAGAAAGATGTAACAGTATGGAGAAATTGATTCCATCATTGATGAAGCTGTTGCACGTAACCGGAATTATTTAATGCTTGCTGTAAAGCTCTGCCTAAAAAGCAAATAAAAATTAATTTTAAGACAATATTTTGTATTTCTGAAATGAACTTATTGTTTACTGAATTTGTGTCATTTTCTGAGTGTTGAAAAGGAGTGTATCTCATGAAACATGAAAACATTTTAGGAAGAGTTTTTGAGGATGTATATACAGATTGAGCAAAAGTATTGTTCCCATGATCAGTTACATTTATGTTGCAAACCAAAAGATGGGGATGGAAGTGTGAAAACATGTTCTAGAGGTTCAGATTTACCTGGGGAGAACACAACAATCTCAGGGAACTGTTTTTGGTCGTAGGATGGGGAGAGTACTTCGACATAACACAATGCCCAGTTCACATCTTGTCTATATTTAATGCAAGTTACCACCCCCATTGGATCCCAGGAAGCTTTAAATTTAGTTCACAAACTTCCAAGTTATTTCTCATTCAACTCAATCAAGTTTTATCACCTTTAATTGTAATATGAAACTGAGATTTTCAAGCCTAATCAAGTAGACAAGTGTGAGTGCTTATGGTAGAACTACTAGGTTTAATAAAATAGGATTTATACTGGCAAATTTTGTTCACGTCCTAATTTTTGTTGGAAGAGATCTGAGAAATCTGTAGTGTGTTTTTATTCTTTTTTGATACCTCTGATCTTAAATGTGTGCTTTAATGTTTAACATTTGGTTTTATTCAAATGATTTTTTTCTGTGCTAGCAGTTAAGATGGCTAAAATGATTACTAATTATTATACGCCATGTTATGGGATTGTACACAGATATCCACCTTTACATGGAGCATTTTAGGTATCTGTACCACTGCAGAGAATTTTTTTTTGCACAGCAGTAATCACACGGAACAAGTATGTTCTGTGCACAAACATAGCTTCTTTTTTTCCCCCTTCTAATGTTCTTGCCTTTCCAGTAATATTTTGCCTTCAGACTTATAAGCCCACATAAAACTGTCAGCTCACATGGTCTTCTGTCCTCTTTTGCTATTCCTTCTGAATTTTCTGCTCTTTTATTTCCAGTTCCACAAAATCAAGATTATCTTGTGTAATAACTCCTTTCTCATGCTTTCTCCTAAACCCATTTTCCCTGCAAATTCCCATACTCCTCCCTCCCAAAAGTGTCTCTTTGAGAAGGAGGAAAGGCTGTTTTTCTCTGCTTGTCTTTGACCCGTCATTAGAGTTTATTTTAGTTTGTAATTTTGGAGCTGTATTTTATCAGGGTGTTGTGCCCGTGATGGAGCTGCATGTTAAAAGTCTTACCTAGAGATGTACCATGCTGCTGGTGCAGTCAGTGATCAAGGATTTATCTTCTAGGAGAGTAGAAGCTGTGAAAGGCCCTTGTTCTATGGTTCTGTTTCAGTTTCCTCTTAGACAAATTTCTGTAAGTATCATCATCATCTACAGGAGGGAATCCTCAGTCCGTCAACGTCAATTGTCTTCAGTTCTGTATCTTTTTTCAGGTCTGTCAGCTATGTGTTCACTGTACTCTTCTGCTAGGTCTAACTCCATAGGCCTGCAGTTTAGGACATCGCTAAAATTGTAGAAACTCCTCCAAAGTAAAATTCAGAGCCATTTTCTATTCTGGCCCTTCTGGTAGATGCCTTCCCCACCAATCTTAAAGTAAGAAAGTTCTGGTCTGTTATTCAGTTTAGATTCATCTGCCTGAAGCTCAGTGTAGTCTCTGACACACTCTACTGAGCTGCCTTTCAGGTGAGTTCTCCACCTGTATTAATCATTGTCCCTACCCATTGCTTTTGAAGCAAACACTTGAGAGGTGAGCTGGGCCGTATTGGTTACTGTTCAGTTACTGCCCACAGTTACTGCCACGTGTTTTTAAAACTACCCTTTTCTTATTACATTAATGTCACTTGTCTTGAATATCTGTATCTCGGATGTCTCCTCAGTTTGGACCTGTGGATCCCCTATCCTGAAAAGGACCAGTTCCCTTAAAGAAATTGGTGATCACTGTAGTAGATTATTCATGGGGAGCAATCCCTAGCGCTGCTGCTTTCTTCAGGGAAATACTCACACACCAACATTTCAGAAAGCAGACCAGACGTTCTCGTAGTGTATTTGGAGTCACGGTGTCCTTCATCAATGAACAGGACAATGAGAACTCTTCTTCTCTATGCCAGGAATGAGGCACCTCATATACTGAACATTTAGGAAAGCAGTGCATGTCAGTTGTACATTTCTAGTGTTTGAGGATATCAGAGAAACTGTCCTTGGAAAACACATATCAGTTTATTGCAAGTTGGAAAATCACAAATTTCATACTTACCTTTTTCTGAGACATGAACATATTTCGTGTGACCTTCTGAAAATTAACACCATTTTTGATCTTATGATTTAACTTGAATGAATTAATGAAAATACATAGTGAAAAACATGATCAACAAGCTTTCAAATATTAATTTTTGTTACTCAGAAAATGAAGGCGCATGTAGCAGCAAGTTAATAAAAGTGCTTCAGTATAGTCAGGTATTGGTCAGTGCTAGAAGTGAGATGCTGTGTGGGGCAGAACAATATGTATCTTGTAAAGTATGACTATTAAAAAAAGCTAAACCACCCCTCAAACAAAACCCAAAACCAAACCAGACATCCGACAGTAAAATTTATCTCTGTGAGGTTACTGACAAATTTAAATCATAGTACTACATTCTTTAGTAGGTGCTAGCAATCTTTTATAACAAATAAGGTATGGAAAAGGTCTACATGCATATTTCAAGTTTGAGCAGGAAAGAGCAGCGATTTTATATCTTAAAAAAAAAAGTTCATTATATATATATGTCATACTTATGGAGAAATATGGTTTCATCTTAGAGACTTTGTAACTAGGCAGTTGCCTCGACTGGATACAGCTGACAGAGGCAGGTATCACTGGCAGTATTCTGCTGTTGCACATTTCAGTATGTAAAATAGAACAGTTTTCAACTTTTTCCTATTTTCCAGTGTTATTTTCCCAGTGTTTCCAAGTTGTCTGTTCAAACATCAGAGTAGGTTTTTCTCCTGAACATAGGGAAGACACATAGAGACTGAGCAACTTTAACAAGCATGGACCATAAAAGTCGCCATAAAATGATGGAGTAAGTAAACGTCTGTTATTTAAAAGTATTTACTATATAGGACTAGGATATTCTAAGGAATTTTATTAAAATGGGCTAGACCATGAGCATGATAATATAAAAGGAATGACCTATTTTCACTGCAAACCCTAGAGATGATGGTGATCAGAAATTTCTCTCACTGTTCAAGGTAGATGATGTTAAAAATGTAGCCTATGTTGATTTTTAGATTCTTTTTTAAACAGTCAATGATCTGTGTGTTAAGGTAAAACGACGTCTTAAATATTTGCAACAAATTGCTTCTCATTTAGGAGAAATCATTTCCTCTCAATTTATCTTGCATTTTTCTTTCCTTACCTTGGTGGTCTTCTTCCTTCCTGTCTTCTAACTTGTGTGCAACTGCCATTCTTGGGTGGGTAGGGATTAAAGTATATGTGAAGTGAGGTTCAGATCACACATTTCCATCTCTAAATTATGACTTGACAATACTCTGCTTTTTCTTTGTGTTCCTGAGGAAACAATATCAAAGAGATACAATGTTCCGTGTAGTGTTTTCATGCTTGGATGGAGTTGAGATGTGTTTTACTGTAATCCTTAATTATGTTAGTCTGCATATTTTCTGGTTTGATTCATATAAAAGAAGAATGAAAACATACAATGAATTGAAGTTCTTATCAACAGTTCAACTGCATGTATATTCGTTTCCTGGGCTGGACTTGTTCTACTCAGTGAACCCTTAAGGATGTGCCTTAAAGTTTAGTGGCCTGCAGTTTTCCTTTGTATAGAGTATATTATGTTGATTTTTTTCATCGTAGTTTAAGAAGCCGAGGGAACTGCTAGTGTAATTGTTGAGACAA